TTGAACTACTTGCATTTTTATCGAGCCTTATTTGAGCATTCCTGTGATGCCATTCATGCACTTGCATCTGCTCTCAAGACTCACTATGCTCACAGAGGGTTTCAAATGACACGTGGAGATGTAAGTCTTTTTTTTCCATCAGTCTCTCAGATAGTTGCTCATTACAAAAGGGCCAAATCATCCAAGAACCTTTTCGATGTAGCCTTGGGCAAGCTGTTCAATGGTTTGACATCTTGCAGGTCAAAGTTGAGCGTCAAACTGAAGCAGCAGTACAAATCACTCAAGAACGAGTGTACGAGGCTTGGAGACCTCAACTTCCAGATGACAGTGGTATATCCATGCCCACATCATCCAATACAACACTTGTCAAAGGCAGGTGCTCCTCCATTCTCATGCAGCATTGTCCTGCATGCTTCGCAGGTGTGCTTTTTGGAAGACCACTCAGTGAGGGTGGCAACATTCATATTGCAATGGACAGGAACTTTCATCATAGACACCAACAGTCTGTGGGGGACTGCCCACGCTTCTACAATCCTGCCTATTTCCTTCCCAAGGCTCAAGTGGATGAAGTTGGGCACTGCATACAATCACTCCATAAACAGTGCCCCAAAGAAGCACACTTCATCAGTGCCAGATGAAGTGATAGATCAATGTGAACATTCATATGAAGCTGTGGATGAGAAGAAACAAAAGGCTGTGATGGATTCGTTTGATGATACTGGAGTTATGGCACTCATCTGCTGGCATGACATTCCATTGTTCTTTGCCAATATTGACTCGCCCAGCGAGCAACAAAAATATGCTGTAGCGCTACTTGAGCATTTATTCTCCTTGGTCCCACAGGAAGCCAATGTCATTGCCCTCTATGATGTCGGTTGTGTGCTCTCACAGTCATTGTCACACGTAAGCTTCCTTAAGATACAACTTCTCCTGCTTATGTGATACTAGTATGATATCCTTCCTTCTTTGGTGACATTGTGTCTTCAATTTGCAACCACTGCTATGCACGCATACGGCCATGAGTGGGCCTGTCAGCTTGAGTACAACCCTTGGATGTGCATTGGGCTTGGCCTATCAGACAGCAAGGGTACTGAGAGGTTATGGTCAAGATTTGTTAAGCTGATTGGAATACAATGTTCATCCTCAGTAAGTGCCTACTCTGCTTTGACAAAGATTCTTCAAACACACACACACAGAGAAGCAAAGGCACCTTTGGTTGATAGATAGGCAAGTGGCTGCCATTGGTAAGGAGATGCAAGTAGATCTTGGAGATTGGATCAAACATTGACTCAAATGTGGAGTTAACAACCAAGGATCTGCAGCAAAGGAAGCTCTAAGGAAATGTGGGATCACTGCTGAGGATCTGCAGGTGCAGTGGGCAGATCAGAAGAAGTCCAAACTCTCCATTCGTGCCCATATGTCAGTTTAGCTTTCCTCATTCGAAGATGAAACTTACATCACGCATTGTGAACTACAGATGCTCCTGCCTGGCTCAAAAAGGAACTTGACATGGTGCTTGCTCTACAGGCAGATCTAGATGCTTCAGATAGGGCTTTGCAAGCCACATGTTCTGTGGTTGAAAAGGGCTTGGTCAGCAAAGAGACATTGGATGCTATAACAAGCCTTGAGCGCAGCCATGAACATCTAATGACCAAGGTTGAAGTACTGTATTTGTCACTCAATGTTCATGACAGGTTTCCAGAGCTCCAAGATGTGGACTTAGATTTCATTTGGACACTCCTGATGGCCTGGAACCTCAAAATCAATATTCAGAAGAGAGCTATAGGAAGCTTTTTTGAGTGGGACAAACTTGATCGCACTGTCAGTGGTGCAAATCAGGCCCTCGGTGAAGCATTTTCTTCCAATTTCAGATCATCAAAACTGACTTGTTATCTCACAAGGCACGAAGCTTCATCAACAAACTCATAAGGCAATTGCAAAGTGCTAGCCAGCATTAATGACTGCAATTCACAAATTCAACTCATATTGTGAGCATCTGGAGAGCCTCTATGATCCATCCTGGAGCATCCCACTTCCTACTCCTCTTCCTACCAAGCTTGTGGACCTTAAAAATGACCAAACATTGATGGAGGATGTTTGGATCACCCTGTCAGTAGGTGACATTCCTCGTTGGATGGAAGATCTGGATGTCAGAGATGGGATACGAGCGTTGTTGAAATGGGAATGGTGTCAGGAAGAACAGCACTGCCTTGGGCTCGAGGCTGACAATCTTTGCTGATGGTTTGGAGATGAACTTGCAGCTCTTGAGCTTGCTCTGCACTTGCCTACAAGTAAGTCATTTCGCATGTCGATGATCAGTGCTAATTTAACAAGACCGAACATTCATGTTCACAATTCAGCAATGGCGTGATCATGTCCTTCTACTACAGACTAGATGGGTTACTCCATTGGCATCTTCCACTCATTTCAATGGCAGTGGCAACATAGCACTTAAGCTTGCCACTTCTCTTCCTGGGAGCCACAGATCACCAACCACTGCTGCATACTTGCTCATACCAACCTCCCTCACACTTCTAGATCCCTCCCCTGAAGAAGACATTGTTGAGGAATCTGTTCCACACACATTTGAAGAAGGCCCTGAACAAGCAGTGCTCTCAGATGTTTTACAAGACAGTACCATTAGTGATGAGGATGACAAGGACAACGATGAAGATAAGTGCATGGGAGAACCTGAATATGTCATAACATGGCAACTCCCAGAGGTACATTTCAATATCTCGTATAGAGAGTCATACTTATCCTACCTCATAGAACCTTCAAAATGATCACTTCAGAATTCCTAGCCCTGAGGAGATCCCCATCAAACATATGAAGGACATCTCCCAAACCCGCGTGCAACCAGCACAAGATGGCTTCCCTCATCAAGTATTTGAGTCTAGGGATGTCTCCATGCTCACACAGCCTACAGCCCGACTCAATGACACATGTATCAATGGTGTCGCTGCATTGCTCTACTCCGAGATATCAACTACCTCTGATATATGTCCTTGTGCCATTCTCTCCACACACAATCTCCCTCGGATTTGATATAATGTGTCCGATGATATACTATGGTGGAATATGTCATGGACGTCATATTGGGAGAAAGATTTGTGGCTTCTACCTATCCATTGGCCATCTCCTGTTAGACATTGGGTATTTTGTGCAGTCTACATGTCAACAAAGGAACTGCACCTCTTTGACAGTCTCACAGATAGACAACCATGGAAGAATGAAGTCAAGGTCAGTATTACTTTCAATCACACTATCTTGATTTCACAATGATGATTGTAGGATATCATGAGACTTATCACCCAGTTATCATCTATTGCCCACGATCATCATGGCTCAGATCTTATTGACATCAAAGGCTGGGTAGCTCACCTGCTAGTAGTCCAGCCATTGCAGACAAATGGCTATGACTGTGGGCTGTGAGTGCTCACAGTGATCACAGTGGTGTTATGAGGAGTGCTGTAGGGATTTCATATTCTGTGGGCTTGTATAGGCAGATATTGCTTAGTGTTATGTTCGCACTTTTGGTGCTTATGTAATCATCATAGTTTTCACCACCTACCAGCACCAGTCTGAGACTGAGAGTTATTAGCATGATTTCCTACTCTCTCTGAGCACTGAGCTTAGTCCAGAAACCCTTTAGGGTTGAATAGCAGCTAGGCATAGCACATTTAGCCCAACATTAGAAGTCTACTTTCCAGTCCTCTTCTTGTTGTGTTTCCCACAGTGCATCATACAGGCATGTGCGAGGATGACATGATAGCTTTCAGACATTACATATGCACACTTGTACTTAGAATACCAGTTTCATGATATAGAATCATGCTTGTCAACCATCCTTTCAGAGCAAAAATGTCGAGGATGATATGTGATAAGTATGACAACCTGTTTGAAGCTGCAACTGATGGCTAACAGAAGAACACACTTGAACTTGTGACAGGCCATCTCAGATACCTAGCTAGATATATATTGGTTGAATTAGCTAGTAGGGAGGCCAATACAATGTTCAATTGATTCACTCTTAGTGGAGAAACATGTACATAGCTGAATAGCAGAAAGGTTGTGTCAAAGACTCAAAGTTAGTACATCTGAGTGAGTTAGAACACTTACAACTCAATGAACTACTTAGCACTATATCATAGTTGGATGCAGTAAGCTCATTCCGCATGATAAAACCTCATAAATTTTTATATGGTCAGAACCGGACTGATGAGGCCTTCCCTCCTGGCCTATTTGTAGGCTTTCATTGGGATGCATGAGCCCCCACAGACATGTTTTTTGTTTTGTATGAGATTTATAATCTATATCATTGGCTGACGGACCTCTCTGGAGGGTGCTTCCTCCCTCCTTCTGTGATCCTCACAGGAGGATCAGTGTCACAAAATCTGATCGTAACAAGGCACCCAGACCCAGTACATCTCTTCTCCTTCCATGGCACCACAAAAGTTGTTTAATTTTGCCATTTGAGTCGGTCTCCATGGCCTTGTGTGATTTCTTGGCAGATTTGATTGTAATTAAAATTGTATATGCTATAAGGACATGCATAGTATGGTACAACGACAAACTAATGTTCTACTTAATACCCTGGTGACTGACCAGCCATCTCAAGTTCATCCATGGCATCTCCAGTGGCTTCCGTCACTGTTGAATTCTGGGTAAGGCAGGCTATACCCAGAATGAGCTCTCTGGCATCAACTCCTCTAACAATTGTGGCCGGGGGAGGCATCTGTGTCATCTTGAGTCGATGAGAAGGGCCAGGAGAAGCCTCCTTGAAACAATGAGAAGGGCCAGCGGAGATGACTAGAAGGGCCAGGACAAGGACATGAAGGGCCAGGGCATGTCTCCTTGAGATGACTAGCTGGGCCAGGATGAGGACATAATGGGGCAGGGTGAGACTCCTTGAGATGACTAGTCGGGCCAGGACGATGACACGAAGGGGTGGGAGAAGGGGTGGGAGAAGGGGCAGGGGATGATTCATCCAGTGAGAGTCAGCTAGGGCCCTTCCGATCAATGTGACCATTGACAAACAAGCAATGTCCGAATGCATGGGGTGAATGAGGTCCAGGAGCCTCACCATAGATGACAGGGTCGTGAGACACCAAGAGCCTATGGGGATAATCTTTGGCATGGAAGCATTTGAGGGTCAATGAGCCATCTTTCAGAGTGTCTGAAAGCACACCACGCTCACAAAGGGTTAGGTCACTGATACCTTTGCTCTTTTGGTTCGTGTCACAAAGTTCACCAGGCATGAGGGCGTCTTCTGGGTAGTTGTAGAGTACCAAGCCATTTTTCCCTAGGAAGGTGGGCAGGGTCTTCCAAGGGAAGTTCAACCCCTGCCCACTGAGGTTTCCTGTAAAATCCACAATCAGACATTCTACTGAACATTTGACAGCAAGACTTACCACAAAGTGTGGTTAAACTGCCCATGATGCATGGTAACCCATCCAGCAGCCTCCAACTCTCTGAATCATAGCTTTTCTGCCTCTCTACCCATTCCTCTAACACTTCCTCCACAGATAAGTCATGCTTGGATGTGATGTGGTTGAGTTGAATTTCGAGTCTTGCAAGGTCAGCATCCATCGACAAGGACACCTTGGATGACACCTTGGATTGGTGAGACTTGGTGGGTTTCGACAAGGATACCTTCGACTTGGTGAGTTGGTAAAGATAAGTAAGAATCCCATTGATAACAGAGGATTAGATCAATAACAGAGAGTGAGATCAATAGATGCCAGCATCAGTGTTGGGTGAATTGGTTCCCACATGAGAACATCCATCAGTGTTCTGGCCAAAGTCTGGGTGCCCCTCAGCAGGCTTAGCAATTTCAAGCAGAGTCAGGCACTCATTGTGACTGATTTCTTCAATATTCCCGCCTGTCACTCGCCCACCCTCCACACCCTCCATAGGAATGCTGCAACATCCTACTTGTCTCTTCTGTCCCACTCACTTTGCATGCAGCTGTTGAAGACAATGTTGACACCACACAGCTGCTCTAGAATTTGGTGAGCATCTGAGCGCATTTGAACTCACAGCTCTCCGTGTGCACATACTCTGCCCATTGGAATCATGGTACATCCTTGCATCTTTTTGTGTCTGACTGGTGATCCACACTTCGAACCATGCAGCTACTTAATCTCGGACAGCTGGTTAGGCTCTGGCAATGCGCTTGCCTAATGGCCAGCCTCTACAATACCATATGTGAGTTGTCATCATGGCATTCTTAACTTCTGCTTTCAAACAGTGGATCTCTTCATCAAACTATATTAATATGGAGGGCTGCCTCCACTCATCTTCTCAACCACACCACATTTCAAGATCATCTCAGTATGTTTTTTTTCTTCTCCTCGCACTCTAGGCTTACTATCCAACCTCTTGTCACAAAAGATGGACATCAATCAGGCCGAGTTCCTGTGTTCAAAAATTCCGATGTTCCGAAGACATCAACCTTGGGACAGCCACACCAACCTTCTTATTGATGAAATATTTGATGAGTTTGATGAAAGGCAGCCATTGTGTGACAAAGTACTGCCCAACTTTGATGTCGAAAAGGACACTCCTATCACCAACTGGCAACTATGGCAAGTTCATCAGGCATATGACAAATTCCATGTTGTGAGTACCTAGAATTTCACTTAGTTATCAATGTGCTGACTGTCCAGTTTGTAGGAGATCAAGTGTTTTTTATTGTGGGAAACACACTAGTTACTGAGGTGTGAGTTGCAGGAGAGTAGTGTAAGGCCATGGGATTACTGGACTTATTGGGGAGTAGGATGCGCATCAGACTGGGCTTACTGGGGGCCAGACGGTGATCTGTAGAACAGTACATACAAAAAGACTTTGCTTATGCTCAATTCTTTTCACTGCAATTGCGATGCTTGAACTGTATATACTAAATGCGTCCTACATGTCACAGTGAGTTGTTCTTTAAGTTGCATATCATGGCTATCAACCCTTTCAGAACTCAATCATGAACATCTTCAGATCCTCTGGCAATGTTTCTGCCTAATGGCGATCTCTGGACCATATTAATAAGTGAACTGATTATGGCATTCTTGACTTCTGTTGTTCAAACAGCAGATCCCTTCATTAAGCCTTATGAAGATGGAGGGAGGTCACCATCAATCTATCTCCTGCCTCCGCTCATCTTCTAAGATCATCTCAGTATGTTGATTCAAGTTTTTTTTTCTCCTCACGCTCTTGGCTTACTATCCAACCTTTTGCCAGGAAAAAAAATGTCTGCAACCTCATTCAAATCTTGCATTTGAATCGTCTTCATAAGGTAAAGTCTCAATGATTAGAATTATACAATCACTAACACATCCCTAGCTATGACTCAAAAAACTTCAGCAGATTTACAAAAATCTCCTCCTCCTGACATTCCCGCTGAGCCTCACATGGCTGACAGAGAACAAGGATTTCCTGAGGAGCAAGTTGGCAGGGGAAGGTGTCAGCTGACTCCCATCATTAAAACTCAACAAAACTCTGGACCCACATCAAGGCTACCAACCGCGTTGGAGGCTTGGTCAAGGAGGCATCAGTGCGTCAGGCAAGGCTTGTTGAGCCAACCCCAGAGGACTTGGAGTCCTTGCTCGCTCTCCCCAACAATGTTCAGTGCCACCTCAGCCTCTTGTCAAGCCAACCTCAGAGTTCTTACTCACTGGCCCCCACCAATGCTCAGTCCCATTTCAGCCTGTTCCCAAACAACATTTGGTCCCATTTCAACCTGCTGTTCCCCAACAGCCTACACCCCCTGGTCAGGCTCAGCCTGTTGATGATTTATTCTATGACACTCCTCAGATCATCCCTTCCCACTCGCACAAGCCTCCACATGAGCCTCCACAGCTGAACTATTCACTACACCTGCCTTTGTGCAGGAGGAGTACAACTTCTGTGGTATCAACTTCAGTGTTTTGGATGGGAATGTTGATGGGGATCCCATAGCTAGACCATCAACAATGCTGCCTGCAGTCCCTCACACACAGATCATCCCTCCAATGCCCACTGTTGGGGACTGGGATATGCCTCATCCTGAATTCATTCCCACAGACTTAGATTTTGGGTCCAACATGGCCATGGACATGGATGATCAAGGTGATATCCCTACAGTGAAAGGTCGAAGGCAGGGGGCAGCAAATGCCTTACTCCAAGAGGGCTTCATGAGGCTCAAAACTGTTATTCACGAGGTCAGCCGCAACACCTCTATTCCCACACATCAAGTCATTGCTTTATGGCACAAGAATGGGTGTTCCTTTAACAATGTCAACCACTGGAATGCTTACAGCAGCTACTTCAAGGCAAATCCCCAGCAGGAGCTGAAAAGACTTGGCGACAAGGCTCCTGAGGGTCCTGGGACACCAAGTGAATGTCTATCAATTTTGTTTGATGCCTTCTTTCTAATTTAATGAATTTTAAGATGCAATCATGCATGCAATTGTTATGAGCTTTTCAAAAACGAATATCCAGACTCCTGGCAAACGATCCTTGAGTATCATGAGGAGGCCACAGTCCTCATGGGTGCACCTCAGACAGTTGCCATGTGGCCCAGGAGTTTCATAAGTTTGGCAAGAAGGTCTCAGCTATGGTACACCCACTTCTTTGATTTCAAAATGTTGTGTTTCTGACATCGCACAGATGGATATCACTGCTGCTCATTTTGGGTTTGAGGGTGCACTGGTAACATGTGGAAAGGTTGTCAATCAGGATGGTTCTCTGGGTCTGGCCCATACAACGCCTGGAGCTGCAGGGGTAGGTGTATTTTTTGCACTATGAGGCCCAGGGGATGATCTGACAAGCCTCTTGTAGTTTTGGCTGACACACTGTAAAGCTGATGATGATACCATCATTGGCCATCTCAAAGCCCAAGTATAGTAAGCATGGATGTATTTCATTCAGAATCTATACTAAGCATTGATACAGGTAATCTAACATCTCTGGGTGTCGTTGATGAGGCCTTCAAGGATGAAGCTGAGTCGTCCAATGCAACCAGTCCGAAGCACCAAAATCAAAGAGATGACAAAAGAGTGCCTGGATATTTCAAAGAACGGAATCCTGTGGATCAAGCAAGAGTTAGGTCAACAAATTGGTTTATGTCTGAGTACTTTGGGTTTATTTCTGCTGACGGTAAACAATAGAGAAACTTGGCAGCAAACTATCATCCAAGAGGAACTTTCCATGGAAGACTCTTCCTGCAAGCTCATCCGTCTTGGGATGATCATCAGAGGATATCCAGAGGATGTGTTGCTCCCTGGCGATTTTCATACAACCTCAAACAAAGGAATCGCAAATTTGACTCTGAAGGAGACTGGGATTTTGATTGTGGCCTTGAAGGCAGGCTTGATGCAGGTCAAAAGGTTTCCAAGGCTATGCAAGGTATGTTTTAATCTAAGTTATTATGTACATGCTTATAGCGGATCCTTCTTTATAGCTAAACTCCTCACCTCCAAGATGCAGCAGTACTAGAAGGAGCACCTCCCACAGAAGATTGCACTCATAGAGGAGGGCGACATCTTTTTGCAAATGGCCAATCAGACCGCCTGGGACTTCCCCATGCAAAGCCAAGTGTGGCTGCTACCAGAATGAAAAAGGTTGCCAATGAAATCACACAAATCTCCCATAACTCTCTCTGACGACAACAACTCTGATGATGACAGTTCTGTTTGACCCATTCTTAAACCTCCCCCATCGCACAAATTCAAGGTGGTGAGGCCCCCAAAGAGCCAGAAGAAGGTCAAGAAGGACAAAGAAGAACATCATCAAGAAGATCGTCAAGAAGGAAGTCATTTCACTTGTGTCTAGTGAGGTCAGCAATGCTCGCTCTGGCTCTGAGAAGCCTGAAGATGACGACAAAGCCAAGAGCGACTCAGACTATGAAGATGACTCTCCCACATCTAAGAAATGAAAGGCAAAGTCAGGGACCACTTTGCAAGCATCAAAGAAAAGGGTTTCACCTACTGAGCCTCCTTTGCCAAAGGCAGGAAATCTGAAGAGCATGAAGGGGAAAGGCAAAGCATGCGCTGAGAAGAGTAAACAACCTTCCACTGTGAGTCCTCAGATGATGAGGAGGCTCCCAATGTAATCGCACAAGGTGAGTTTTTGTGTTTGTTGTGAGCTGCAATGGTACTTACCCATGACACAGCGAT